GCCTGGATCTTGGTTCAGACCCAAATGGAGCAGATCCCATCCTGTACTTTCTCCAGTAGTCACTGGGTGGAGGCTCACAGGCCACATACCTTATCCCCCTTAAGAGAGTTATAGTTAATCCCACCCTGAAAGCACAACAGAAGTGGAAAAACAATGAAGATCCAATTGAAAGATAATACTTAGACACCCACTTCAATCTTTAAATAACATTCATCTTTAANTGTTAACTTTCTGAGCAGTTTGGTTGTTGGAAGAAATCATTAGGGCAGAGAACTGGTTGTTAAATTTTAATCCCATCACTACACTTTCCCCAACTCCTGATACAGAAGGCAGCATTAGAATCAAACCCAACGCGATGATTCCATTTGTCCCAATGTGCTAAATAAATACGAAGTGGCAGTGGATCCGTATCTTGGGTAAGATACCGTATTAATAGAGACAACATTTTGAAAAAAAGATAAAGGGGATAAAGAAATTTTCAGTATTTATTTTAATTATAGCTCTTTTCCAGGGGTGAAATTAATTTTTTTTTACTCCCAGTACTGTGGGCGTAGCTTGGTGGGCGTGGCAGGGGAAGGATATTGCAAAATCTCCATTCCCACCCCACTCTGGGGCCAGCCAGAAGTGGTATTTGCAGGTTCTCTGAACTACTCAAAATTTCTGCTACTGGTTCTCCAGAACCTGTCAGAACCTGCTGAATTTCACCCCTGCTCTTTTCTCTAAGTTCCATTTCTTACCAGTGAAATTCCAAATGCACGATTATGAAAATTTAAATGTCTTTAGCAGTAAAGGTTATTTTTAAGTAGAGTTTGAAATGCATTTAGATTATGCAGCTACATTACTAACATGGGGGTGGGGAACAGTCACAATTTCCTTTCAACAAAAGGCCTTGTGCCTTTGAACATGACAAGGTTGTGTAGTGTCATCTCTCGCTTCTATATTTGCAGAAGTAGCAAGATTCTAGGGAAGGAGCTCCATATGCTGCCTATGAGAATCATCATGGCAAAGGTTTTTACACCAGCATTGTAGAAATAGCTCTCTAATGACAAGGCAGCACAAGCTATCAGCTGGGGAGAAAGATATTTGCTTTTGGAAATTAGAATGAAACATAATGGCTGAACTGAAAAAACACCTTGTAAAACATTTCTTTGTGACCATAGGAAGTGGTATTCAATAGCATCTGTGTTTTGCTTATTGGTATTCCTTTGCCAGATTAAGATACATCTCTGGCAAGAATAATAATTTGCATATTTATGGTTTTTGTGTGTGTGTGTGTAGGTGTACATATTTACACACACCCACGCACACGCACACACCCATAGCCCAACTGCGTGTTTTTATTTTGATTTGGGTTTTTTTGTATTTTAAGGATTTTAATTGTTTTATCGTAAGCTGGCTAGAGTAAATGTGAGATGAGCAGCTATACATATTATAGTTCTTTATGCTGTTATTATTGGATTGCAGTTAATGTCGAGAACCAGTATGCTTTCCAAACCTAGAATGATTTCTATAGTATAAATAGGTGCCGTTATCTGAGTTCTGCTGGAAGGGATTGTGGTAGTTCAGTCAAATCCAAAACCAAACCTTTCTTTTTTCCTCATCTCTGCAGCAATCATAGGCAGAAAAGAAGAGGGATTCATGTACAGCCATGGCTGTGCTGTTCTGTTCACACAGATCATAGTTTAGTCTTAATCTCTGAAACAGCTGATGACTTGAAATGCATAAGAGATGCACACATTCTATTTACTCCTGACTTCCAAAGGTTATGCACAACAGATCTCATTTCAGAATTATGATTGCACATTTAGGTCTTTTTATTAGGCATGACTATAGAATGTTACAGTATTCTGATATTTACACTCTTCTTAGCAGCAGTACTGAAAGCTTCTGAAGAAACTGAAAAAGCTTATTTAAATACTAGATTTAAATCAAGTAACATCGTCAGATCTAGTCTTCTCGCAGTGAAGATGGATGCCAAAGGTTCAGAATGTGTGAATGCTTGTTTCGTTTTTTAAAAGACAATGTGGTTAGCAGTACTCCGGCCTCTGAAGTCTTCTCCCTCCCTTCACAGTCATGCTTCGCATTTGCTGAAATCTGCACTCCAATGTAATCACTGAAGGCAGAGAGGGAGTAATTGCAGCAAAATTAACCTCTGACTTTCCCCCCAATAAGAATAGCCCTGATAAAACTACTCATCAGCAGTTTACCTTGATGCAGTGCAAACTCTTCCATTCTGCTTATTTAAAACACGTTATTTGTAATTTCTCTGCACCAGAGTCTTTGTTTTTTCTTTTATCTGATGCATGCATATTATTGCATTATATTTTAAGTTGCAAAGATGAGTCAGTACTAAATATAATACTATAAATATTATAGCTATTGATTTAGCTAATATCAAATTTCTAGAATCCATGACCTGGGAATTGATTTGAGGACTGGGCAAAGTGACAAATGAGGAACTGCTTGGTGTTAGTGGTGAGCATGCTGGATTAGAAACTAGGAGAGTGATTTCTAATCCCACTTTAGGCATGAAATCTGGCTCCTTGATTTTGGGGCAATCACTCTCTCTCAGCTCAGACAACTTCACCAGGTTGTTGTTGTGTGAGAAAATAGGAAATTGGAATATTAGGTATGTTCACTAGTTTGAATTGAACAAAAACATAGTTTTTTAAAAATTAGCATCATTACCATCATCTTCTTCATTGAACTGCCAATATAAGAAAATATGGAATACTTTAAATACAAGAAAAACCATCAGACTTAATTTCTGACTGAATGTGTTTAGAATTGCACTACTTTTTACTTTCTATAGATTGTGCTATTTTATATCGGGGCGTCAAACTCGATTTCATTGAGGGCCACATCAGGCTTGTGTTTAACCTTGGGGGGGGGGGCAGGTGGGCATGGCCAGGGTGGGGATGGCCAGCTTAACGTTACTCATGTTGGGGGCACCTGTGGTGGCCTGGGTGGGGCTAGAGGGGAGCTTCCTGCAGCCTTCTACCAACAAAAACAGAGCTCGGTGGGGCGCATGCAGTCCTCCCGGGCTGTACTTTTGGCCAGTTTGGTCTCCTGCAGTCCTTTGCCAGCAAAAACAAAGCGCAAGGCCCTTCTGAGCTCTGTTTTCACTGTCAGAGGCTCTGCGGGCCAGTCCTTCGCTGTTTCCAGGGCAGCCCTGCGGGACAGATCTAAGCACTCCGTGGGCCAGATCTGGGCCACAGGTCTTGAGTTTGACACCCCTGCTTTATATGAACTTCACTAATAATTCCAAACCTGGAAAATCTCAGATCAAACATCTTTGTTTGGCCTTTCTGTTTCCATCTAAAGGATTTGTTTTGTTTTCTTTTTTGTTTGTTTGTTTCTTCTGCTTCCATTCTCTTCTCAGTTCTGGACCTTTTTCCAAAACTAATGATTTCATCTCTATCCTTCATTAAGATTGGGGATATTGGTGCAATAGTAATTGAGAGAAGGACAAATATGGAAGGCAAATGTGCACTCCTTTTAGTCCCATAAGTGATTTATATTGTGAAATCAGAAAATGTGCCCCTAGTGAGGCCAGCTCTTCTTTTGACCTATGATGTTCTTCCCACTGGAAAATTATAGATCTACCCAGAGGCTACTCCAGAAAGAGGGGAGATTATTTGTTCACTGCTGCAATAAAAAAAGGAATGTGCTCCTGTCCATATTGTGCCATTAATATCAAATTTAATTTGTAACATTGCGTGTCTATACTGTATACGTCCTGTGTGGTTATGAATGTGTCAGTTATACAGGATAGTGCGTCTTTTGAAAGCCGATTCTATTGGGGTCAATCCAGCTGATGAAAAACAGCGAGAAAAGAAAGAAAGAATGGTTTAATATTACAAAGTTTCATGTTACCTGTTGCTGTTTCCTGATGCTCTAAATGAGAAGCGTGGCAAAATATCTAATATTGTTTCACGGTTTTGAGGCAGGGAATAGGATATGTACTGGAAGAGTTACTGAATCTTACTAGTCACATTGTAGTAGAAACAAATTATTATTATTATTATGAGAGATGCTGACCCTTTCTGTGGAATCACATTTCTGTCAATCGCAGTTCAAGAGCTAGAATAGAGAATTTGGCCTCCACTTGCCAATCAAAATTGTGACATAATTATACAAGTCTCTGGTGCTGTTCAGATCCTGAGTTGTTCCAGAAATTATTAGTTAAGGTTAAACAGGTTCATCACTCATCCTCTTGAATATATGCATCTTTAAACAAGCAAAATGATTGTTTCAACATGGCATGATTGTTTCTAGCATTAGAAATACATACTGCCTTAAGTTTTTCTTCTTTTTTAAGTGAAAACCATTGGCCAATCAAGCAAAGTACTGTCCATCAACGAAATCCTTTAACCGGTTATTTGCCCTTTGGCCTTAGCTCTATGCAGCATCAGGACAAGTGGGAAAAGGGGGGGGGGGTCATACTGAAAGTGTGTGAATGGAGCTTAGAGCCACAATACAGGTAGTCCTCGACTTACAACCACGATTGAGCTCAAAATTTATGTTGCCAAGTGAGAAAGTTAGTAACATGGTTGTTAAGTGAATCTGGCTTCCCCATTCACTTTGCTTGTCAGAAGGTCACAAAAGGTGGCTCACATGACTTTTGGACACTGCGACTGTCATAAATATGAGTCAGTTGATAGCCGTCTGCATTTTGATCACGTGACCATGGGAATGCTACAAGTCTGTGATAAATGTGAAAAATGGTCACTTTTTTCAGTGTTGCTGTTAACTTTGGTCACTAAATGAACTGTTATAAGTCAAGGACTAGCTGTATCCTTTGGGAGCGATGTTTATGAATTCCCTTAACAAGATTCAAGTGTGATTGGAAATCTAAAATGCTCCGTAGATATTCCACCAGGGAGGCAAGGGCTTAGCCACCATTCTTCCTCTGATTGTAGAGGCAGTGATGTTCTGAGATGCCAGTGCAAAGCTGGTCTGCGGTTTAACTTAAATTGCCTTTGTCTCTTTCTTTTTAGCTGACATTATCTCTACAGTAGAATTCAACCACACAGGAGAATTACTAGCGACAGGGGACAAGGGGGGTCGTGTTGTAATATTTCAACGTGAGCAGGAGGTAAGTGCTGGTGAATGCAAAAATGCCCATTTTTACCCTTTTAAAAGAAGTTTCCTGCTGTTTCCTAATCTTTGTGTGTCACTCTTTACTATCGCACCGCACAGAAAATTGCAAAAAAAAAAAAAAAAAAAAGCCATTAAGATCAATCGGGCAGCTTCTTTAAACAAAAAAACAAAAAAAAAAAAACCAACCCTACAAATGTTGGATTTTCTTGAATCCCTTTGCATCTTGGAACAATAATCGCAGGCGGAGGATTTCAGTCTGCTGCTGAAATGTCATAAATGCAAGCAGAACTTTAGTTGCAATGCTTTTGAAGTCTGCTTTGTTTGAAATTAGCAGGATCCCTTCCCAAACTAGTATAACATAAAGAAACAAACAAACACATACCAAGCTTTGTTTTAGTTTATGTTGATGAGATGCATTGTTCTCCCGAGTGATGCTCTGGATCTATGCCAACATATAAGAAAAACTAAATATACAAATAAAATAAAGCAGAGTTTAAGAAGCCTTTCCATACTAGTAAATATTATATTTTGATTGGTGTAGTGGTTAAGATGCTAGACTAGAAATTTACAGGACACTGTGAGTTTTAGTTCTACCTTACACCCTGCTTTGCAGGTACAAAACAGCTTTCTGATCTGGGTATAGGCCAAGGGTGAAATGCTACCGGTTCGAACCGATTTAACTGAACCAGTAGTTAAAATTGCTACCGGTTCCCCGAACCGCATTTTCCAACGATCAACTGTGACTTGTGATTTATATTAGCTAGAAAGCTAATCTAAATTGCGTGGCACAGCAGATTCTCCCTCCCCCTCCGCTGTTCTACTTACTTTTGCAGGCACGCTTGGTAGCAGGATCTGCCCGGACGTCATGTCCGTTTTTGATGCTCTGCGCTTGCGCGTAAGGTCCTGTGCATGCACGGAGATAAATTTGCATGCACTCACCTTTGTGAACCGGTAGCGAAGATAAGTTGATTTCACGCTGGGTGTAGCCAGATAGTACCATTCAGAAGTGCTTCAGTATCATATTCTGGTCCTTTGAAAATAAAATCAGACATGAGTAATTTTGTTCAGTTTACTACTGTACTTCGATTACTCTGTTATTTATTTAAGCCTTTAACATATACAAAGTGCAAAGTAAGAGAAAACAGTTAACAGAGTTTTTAGTGACATTATATCCCATTCCCTTCCATTTATTTCCCGATGCTAGCCTAAATATAGAAGGATTTTGCTAACATCTGTTTCAGTCCTTTCATCTTTTATTTTCTGTTGGTCTCCCAATTCTTTTTCTAGAAACCATATTCCAGATATTTAAGTTAGCCCTGCTCTGTGAATTCGTTTATTACATTAAAAGTGGGGTAGGTTTGTATATTAGAACGGTGTCCTTTCTATTGGAGAGAATTTTGTGCACAAGTCAAGCTGGATTTGTTCTTTGAATTGAGCGGTTGTTGCTTCATGCCAATTTGTCTCTTAAATTGAATGATAGGGAATGATGCATTCTTGAATCAAAATGAAACAAAGATGCTCTTCCTGCTTCCTGTCACCGGTGAACATAGAAAGTGACACAGGAGGAGAAGGCATTGTGCAAGAAATAGCTCCGCTTTGGTACTTTAAACTGCAATGTGTCACCGTAATCAGACATTTCCCTCTTAACAATCTTCAGAGAACAAAAGAATCAATTGAAAATTTGCTAGCTCTGGCACGTCTAAGAATCCCTTTATGTTTCTTTCCCACTCCTGCAGAGCAAAAATCAGCCCCATCGCAGGGGAGAATATAATGTTTACAGCACATTCCAGAGCCATGAACCTGAGTTCGATTACCTGAAGAGCTTAGAGATAGAGGAGAAGATCAATAAAATACGATGGCTCCCACAGCAAAATGCAGCCTATTTTCTTCTCTCCACCAATGGTATGTTATAACAACAGGTACTTTTTTTTTTTTTTGCTTTGCTTCCCAGCCAAAATATCCTGCTTTGATGGGTTGTGCTCATTCATACTTGTAATCTCTCTACAGGACAAGTATTTATTGCTCTATTTGATCCAGAGAGAGGAACTCAAGGGCGATTGTGGTGGAGATATCCCTAATGTTGAATTTTCTCTCTTACTTTCTGTAATATGTCTTAAAATCCCCAAAGCATATTCTGCCAGATCATTTACAAGATAAAGAAAGACACAGCCTCACAACATCCAGCAGATTCCTTCAGTATCTTCTGATATGCAGGTTGTAATTCCACAATTTTGGAATTAGAGGCAGCTCCAATCCTTCTGAAAAACACCAGGTAGGGAAAGGGAGCTATATATTCTGACCTAGGCTTCCCCAAAAAACACGAAGCAGATTCCTGGTCCCAACAAAACCCCTTTTATTAAAGAAACGAGAATTCCTCTCATTCACATTCAGCAAAGCCCTGGTAAACAGTCTTTCAAAGGTGAATTTATGACCACAGACCTTATCTAGCTTGGAAAGCTGCCATGTAAATATTTTCCAAACGCAGTGAGTCTCCGGGATTCATTCTTGAAACGAATGAATGAATGAATGAATGGTTTCCTGCAATTAATTGTTTCCTGCAAAAGCCCACTCCCCTTTTGCTCCTCTTTTATTTCCTATGGGAGGGGCCATTCACTGCCCACCTGTGGCTTTACGCCCAAGTAAACCCTGATTTCTTAGCTCTTCTTTTCTTCTGGCAGCTCTGTGCATGCGCACACTGGGAACAGGCTCCAGCTGTTCCTCTATCTCACTGCTGTCTAGCTCCGAAGACAGCTAAGAACTGCCAGACAGTCTTGGCCCCATCTCTGCCTCCGACGCAGAGCTTTCGTCCAAGCCTGCCCCATGTTCCTCCCCAACTTCCTCACTGTCCAATTCTGCTCTCAGCTCCGCTGGCCACTGGTGGGCCACAACACTACAATAGATGATAATTGAGTTGGCAGGCTGAAATTTCTCAAACTGCCTGCACGGAATATGATGTCCTGTTCTTAGAGTGAAGAATACATGTTCTCGCTTCTTGATTTAACATTGCCTGTCTGTGTGGGTGGGGGCAGTCTTAGAGATTCTTTGGTTGGCCTGTTTACTAATGACTCTTTGGCAGTTTCTTGATTGGGGTACTGCTTATATGATTGTTGGTCTAACCAAGGTTAACTTCAGTCCAACAATCAAGTAAGCAATACCCCAATCAAGAAACCTACATAGACAGGCAAGATATCAGAATATAAACTGACAGCAAACAGCACTGAATATGTTACCTAGTTAAGGTAATGAAACACCTGCAAAGAAACAAGCAGGACCCCTCAATTAAAACATTGCCCAATCTGAGCCCAGTCTAGCCCATGAGAAATATCTGTAGTTAAGAAACCCAGCACTTGAGAGTAAAGAGGACTTCTCAACAGATGGGTCAGGGTTTTGTTTTTTTATTAGTACTGAGTTCCTGCATTTGTACAGCTCTGATTTACACATTAATTAAATTAATTAATTAATGAAACAAGGGGAGTATTGATGAATCAAAGAAGTGGCAGTTCTGCTCTATCCTGCACTGATGAGGTCACATTTAGAAGTCTGTGTCCACAATTCTGGCTACAACACTATAAAAAGATGCTGTAGCCCTTGAAAGAGTACAGAGAAGGGCAACAAAGATGATAAGGGGCCTGGAGGCTAAATTCTATGAAGAACAGCAGAAGGCACTAAGTATGTTTATTTAACCATGAGAAGGCTGAGGAAGATTTGGTAGGAGTCTTCCAATACTTGAAGGGCTGCCTCAGGGAAGGCGGCATTAGTTCATTCACCATAGCACCCAAGAGTAGGACAAGAAACAATCAATGGAAGCTTGTCAGAGGAAGATCCAACCTGGAAATAAGGCCTCTTGCCTTGGGCAGAGAGTTCAGCTAGAAGATCTCCAAGGTCTCTTCCAACCCTTTGATTCTATAAAACCTTGGTGATTAACGTCTTGTCTCATCTTCAATAGAGTCTGAAATTTAATTTCATCTCTTTGTTGACCATCTGTTTGTGTGCTATATATGTACCCTAGGCCAGTGTTCCCAACATCAGCAATGGTAATATTTGTGGATTTCAACTCCCAAAATTCTGAGGAATTCTGGGAATTGAAGTCCAAACAACTTAAAGTTGCTAAATGAGGTTGAAAAACATTGTCCTAGACCTAGGCTGTCCACTGCCTATCAAGATAGCTCATACCTCCTATCCCAGCGTTGTCTCTTCTACTTTGTTCTTTTCAGCTCTCTCTCTTTCTCTCTGGGAACCAGGCTGTTCCATGGCTTAATAGTTTTCTCTGTCAGGAAATTCCTCCTTATTTCCAGTTTTAATCTTCCTCTAACCAGCTTCCTAGTGCTTCTTGTACTACTTTCAGGTGCTAGGTAGGATGAATCAATGTCCTTTTCCCTCTGGCAGCCCTTGTTCTTTTTCAGGATTTAGTGCCTATGAATCCAGTGCCATATTGTTTGAAATATGGGTGGAGGTGGGGGGATTTTATGCTACTTATGTTTCCTGGTTGCTGATCTACACATTACCTATAAAATCTGATGCTGATTATGATCAGTGATCAACTGTCAAAGAAGGATAGTTGAGACAGATGTGCCTAGAGGGTTGTCTGTACATTAGGAACCCTTATCTACTTGGATCCTGCAACTCTTAAGTGTTGGAGGAAATATAGTAACACAAGGTCAAACTGTGATAAACAAACACTGAATTTGAAAATTCTTACTATTTTGCAAATAATCTAGGCTTTGTGGTAGATAGGGAAATCAGATGGAATTTTAGTATATAGATATAGATATTGATATTGATATAGATATGGTAAAATACATAATCTGAGATGAAAGGGGAAAACAAGGGTTGTAAAGCACTTTGCACTTGAAGGAAAAAAGGTGCTTTGGAGCATCAGAGCATGCAAATAGAGTATTATTTTGCAATTCCTTAAAGCAGCCACTGAGCAATCCCTGGAGAAAATACATTGCAGAAAAGTACTATCTTTCTGACCAAGGCCCTTGGAAGCATTGAACTCCATATAAAATAATATGAAAGCATGCCGTGGAAGCTTTAAAAAAGGTTCTGAACATTTTTATAGAATTCCATCTAACATTGGGTATGAAGGAAATGCAAACTATCTTAAGCCAAATGGACCAAGACTTTTAATTTTACCTCCCTTTAATTAATTAGTTGGTTGGTAACTTCAGTAGTTTCTGTCCTTTCTCCTTCTAATACGGGAATTTGTATATGCAAACAGATGCAAACAAATAGGTACACATGCATATATAAATTCTTTGTGCAACAAAACTAGGATTTCTACTTCATTGGCTCATTGTATGAGAGTGAGGGGGTTATGTCATTGATGCTGGATGCCAGTATGGCTCTGGTGTTAAAAAAAATTCTCAGCAAGAAAAACTCAAAGGGAAAAGATATCTTCAAAATGTTGCCTTCAATTAAAGAAAAATAATAATTTTTTCCCCAGAAGATTTTAATTCATAGCATATTTTTCTAATTACAAGGGACAAAATTTTGAGTGTCATTTTCTAGCGTTACCGTGTGACATGTACTCATTTCATGGGTCAATTTGAAAACAAGGAATCATGTTAATTTTAATGGTCACTAATGGTCAGATGCCTCTAAGGAACTCTGCATTGTCTTCTAATAAAAAATACAGTATAATAAAGTTGGCCTGATTAATAATAGAAATCACTGTAAGACAGGATGAATAATATGGTTGTGGTTTTTATAGGGTAAAATGGAAAATTACACATGGGTTTGCCAATAATCTGGTGAAAAAAAAAATCTTCAACGGCACAAAAATGCTGATCAGTTTAATCCTAAATATGAATCTTTCCAGCCCCTCTATTCTCAGCCTTCTCATGGTCAATTTATTGTAATAAATTGTGATTGAAGACAACTTGTCTTTGATAATTCTAATGTAAGAAAATCACTCTCACACTCCAATTTTGTCTTGATTCAGCTTTAAATTATATCAGGTTTAATATATCTAATGCAGTGACTGAAAACTTAGTAAGGGGTTTTTTAATCTCTTGACTGCCGGAAAGGCCATGGCAGAATTATCTCCTGTTTTGTGTGTATTTGTGTGAGTCTGTTTCAGTTTTCATTTCCTAAGCATAAATGTAGATTATGTTCACATAACTGTCACTAGGTCCAGTGTTGTTATCAGAATGGATGGAGCTTTAAGATGAATGTGACTTAATTACTGTAGAGGAAAGGGGTCTAATTATCTTTCATCGTCAACTTACTTTGTGTTGGAGAATTTACCCTATTGATCATTGTAATAAAATTCTGAGAGTTATTAAACTCATTTGAGGGGAAGACTCACTGAAACACAATGAAGATTAATTATATAGCATAATGTTCTGTTAATTGAGTTTTTTAAATAGTTTTTTTTTAATTCATAGGAGAATTAGTTTGCAGTTTCAGAAAGTGTTTTCATATGCTGGGAAGACCTCCAAATAGCTCAGACATTACTGCTATCAGTTGTCCCTAAATGTTCTTTAATATTCCTTTCCAAAAACACACTATGTGAAAATTGAACTTTTATCAGGATGAGTTAATACAACAAAATCTATGGGAGTCAACTGCAATTCTTAAGTGAAAAATGGGGATGGGAGAAATGAAGACAAATAAGACTGTCTTTAAAACTTGTGGGAACAATGACAAACTGCTGATAGAATGCCCACCAGGAGGGGGAAATGAAAACACCATTATTCAGAATAAAAGCCACATGTTCCTGAGGCTTTTTCCTAAAGGATTTTGTGGCACACAATAAACAAAATGACAGCAAAATGATGAAGCCAATGGAAATATTCACCTGCCAGGCAAGCTGGCAATTGTGGAATTTAACATGGATTCACCGTCAATGATAAAGTGTCAGTTTTTATTCCTATCATTGAGCTTGAAATGGACTTTTGAGTAAATTACCAACATGATTGGGCTCCTTTTTCATGCATACATTGCTGTACTTATAGTGTAATGCATTGCAATCAAAGCTTAGCTACAGCAGTTAGAGCTCATGTAACTCAAAATTGCTTTTATGGAGCATTGCGTGCCCTAGCTTTCAGTCTAAATTGTTCCCTCCTTTTAGACCAAAGTAAAATTAATTTAGCTTGACATGTCCAACATGCAGAGTGTTCAATTTTAGCAACCAGTTTGTAATCAGAACTCTTGTTCATATAGACCTACATTTACAGTCTATAACTTCAAAACTTGATTTGAAATATTCAGAAATGAGATAGAAGGAGAAAGCAGGCCATAATCTTTTTAAAATCAAATGTCAGATATAACTGGGAGCTTCAGAAGGACTTTGGAACACCACAGAAGTAATCGTCAAGGGATATATACAGCTCAGCGGCCATGCTTTCCCTTTTCTGCCTCTGTATGTTCAGTATTTATTTTCTGTTTTAAGCAGTATGTGATGATGAGACAATCTGTAAATGGGACATGAATACCACAGAATCTGAAGAACATGCTGTCAGCATTCCAAGTATCATGTAGAATTAAATCAGAGTCCAAGGCAAAATGATCCTTAAAGTTCCAATTTAATAAAGCAGACATTTTAGCACATCTGTCTTAATCCCAATTCTGGAAATTACATCAGAATCCCATCCAGTTAAAAGTTCATGATCTTGTCCCCACACCCACAATCCATCACATGGTCCAATCCTCTTCTTCCACGCTGGCATCCACACCCAACTGCTTCCGGTCAGGTGTAAAAGTACGGAGACAAAATATGACCTTGGCTTCTAGAAAAGAATGAAAACAATACATTCCACAATCCTACTCCTGTCTATTCCCCCCTCCCATCAACTATACTAATGAAACAGCATAATGAAATAAGATAAAGTGTGGCAGGCCAAAATTCTAAAAGGAATATAATTGCAGGCTTGACACATGCACTATCTTAGTTTGGAGTCTCTTACTGTTCCTTTTTGTTTTAACCAAGTTAAATTATAGTGCAATTTGCAAATATAGTCACCATTCTGTTCAATCCTAACTCTAGATCATTTTTAATACATAAAAAATACAATTCCTAGTATATATCCTTCAAATTTCCTATTATTTGTGTCTACTGTTGTAAAAACCCATCCTTTGAGCAAGAAGACTGCTGAAGCTACTTGAAGAGGTCTTGGGCTTTAGCCTCTTAAGACGGGGTCCTCAACTCCTGGCTCATGAAACGGCACCGGGCCACGGCATGCCAGGAACAAGGCCACACAAACAAGCAAAGCCCGATCTGCAGGTTGCAGGCAGCACACGAAACCACATCCCCTCTAGTCCGCGGAAAAACCTCTCTCCATGGAACCGTCCCTGTTGCCCAAAAGGTTGAGGGTTACTGTCTTAAGAAATTGTTTAATAAATATGATCTAATAGATCAGTGTTTCTCAAGCTTGGTAACTTTTAAGATATGTGGGCTTCAGTTTCCAGAATTTCCTCCAGCATTCTGGCTGAGAATTCTGGGGACTGGAGTTCATCTATCTTAAAGTCACCAATTTTGAAAAACACTGCAATTGAGAAAGGTTCAATTACACATTTCTCATTTTCCCATAGTCATTGTTTCTCTGTAGACTCTTCAGCTGCCTTCTCCCATATAGCAGATGGTAGCAATGATAAAATAACTAAGAAGATCACCGCTGATGAACTGTGCAAGTGATAAGTAACAATAAATCATAACTGTTACAAAATGCATAATAATTCAGTAACTCAATGAAGCGTTCTGATTTTCTTCCAGATAAAACTGTGAAACTATGGAAAGTCAGTGAACGAGATAAAAGACCAGAGGGCTATAATCTCAAAGATGAAGATGGACGTCTCCGAGACCCCTCCACAATTACCACACTACGGGTATAGCAAATAAGACTTTCCTACTTTCTTCCTGCTAAAAGAGAGATTTGTAACATTTTACTTCTGGTTGTGTGGATCAGTGGTATCTGATCTGATTTATCCTCAATGTTTTAGGTGCCAAGAATTTCTTCTATTTGGATGTAGCAATTGATGTGACTTGATGCTGATGTCACTCCATCATTCCTGCCTGAGTCGGAATTAAGGTGGTTTTAGTTATGCAATAACTGCCTAGTTGAGGCACTGAGGCACCTTGGGAAAACTTCTTTTTTTAAAGGCAGTGCTTTATATCTTTAAAAGAAGACATAAAAACTGGCATTTGATTTGATGTACTTATTTTAACTCCAACAGAAAGATCAAGCTTGGTTACACATAATAAAAGAATCTGTGTAAGTAGGAACAGTTTGCAGCTCATTAAGATGAAGAGCGTGTCATTTATTACTAGGGTCAACATTTTGTTTGCTATAGTTTCTGAATGCTCAAGACATTTGAATGACCTGTTTTAGATGTCAGCAACCGACCCATAGATGTCCATAGGGTAGGGCAAGCAACTGTTGTCATTTGTGTCAAGACATCATCACACCAATAGCATCAGGACACATTTGTCATCATTTTGATAGCTCTGATGCTTCAAATAGAGGCCTTGTTGAAGAAAGGCAGATAAAGGCAGCCATTGAGCGGCATTTTATATCTATTTTTAAAGGTAAAAGCATAGAACATTTCTTTGCTGATTCAAATTCCATTAGACTTATGTTTATCAGGGCGTGATGGCTCAGCGCTAAAAGACACTGAGCTTGTCAACTGGAAAGCTGACAGCTCGGGTTCAAGACCTGAACGCCACGCAACAGGTTGAGCTCCCGTTCCTTTCCCCAGCTTCTACCTACCTAGCAGTTTGAAAACATGCAAATGCAAGTAGATAAATAGGTACCACTTCAGTGGGAAGGTAACAGTGTTCCATGTGCCTTTGGCATATAGCCATGCTGGCCACATGACTTAAGACAATACTGACTTCCTTGGCCAAGAAATGGAGATGAGCACTGCACCCTAGAATCCAACACAGCTGGACAGGGACACCTTTACTTTTACCTTATGTTTATTACCCAGTAGCATACCATAATACTTTCAGGTCAAATCAAAGAAGCTATTACATTGTTTTTCTTTTAAAAGAATTAAGAAATATGTGTACTTAGACCTTGATGCTTACTTACTAGGGTTTTGAAAGTTCAGCAGTAGTTTCATCTTTAATTTCAACAAGCACAAGCTTTATGTGTTGAAGTTTTTTCATTTTTGTTCAGAATATTGAGTTATATGTTAACTTTTCTCTTTCCATCCAACTGTAGAAAATGGTTGTCTTAATATTATCATCAATCTATTCTATAGTAATGTGGTTCTTCAATATTAATTCTGAACAGTTCTACAACATTGTGACTGTAATTACTTTCACTCAAATTTACAGCTTCTGGTTTTATTAGTACCAGGCCAGCAAGGGCATTAATAACCCAAGATAGATAATTAATTCTAACTAAGAAACAAATGTCTTCCATATTGCATTGTCCCTTCTTGCTAGTAGGCATATTGTTCAAGACTGAGAAAAATCTTTCACTTTTCTATACAGTATGTTTTTATTGTCATTTTGGGTGCATCATGTAGAAGCCTGCTGTTTCACTGAGAGTGCCTTTTAAAATAATTTCTCAAAGCTCTTCTATTGTTAAATTGGTTTATGTCATTAGAGTGGGCTACTCTTATCTTAATATATTTTCCTTGAAAACACTGTCAAGTAGATGTTACATAGTGTTTTCTTCTTCTGTGTCTTTGGATATTAGACACGAATTGAGTATTAAAAGACAGCTTTTGCTTTTTCAGGGTCCAAGCAGAAATTTTCCAAATAACAAAAGTTTTAGTGGCGCTACTGTAATGACATCTCATATTTAAACATTTTTCGTTTAAACATTTCACATGTCTGATAAATTTTATACAGCTGACTAATACAACTACCCACCTGGTAATTTAGAGCTTAATCCAAGTAATGCTGATAAACATACCCCATCATAGTCAAAGTGACATTTACTATTTGCAATTTTGTCTCCCAATGCAAATTACTCAAAAAAAAGTTACTGTAATTTCTTTACATTTGTAACAGGAAATCTTCAGGGAATACACAACCCCTACATTAAAACACTTTCAAGAAGTAGTATATTTTCTAAATGTCAAATTTGATTGTGCTTATTATATAGCACAGATACTAATATCATGTAAGAGCTCTGGATGTCTTTAAGTTTGCAGTTCCCCATTCTGAGACTAAAGACTCTTATTACTAAAAGTAATAAAAAGTTAAGCTTGTTTTCTTACTTCGCTACTGTCTTTTTATCTGGAACCGATAGTATTATAGAGAAATCATCTCCCTCAGAGATCAACAACAAAATACCTTGCTTTTTTGCAATAACCCCCTGCCTGCTTCTGACTATAATTCCCACCCATTTTCAAATCTGTGCTTTTCCTTAAAGACTCCCATGAAAATAAAGATTTCGGTATTTAGGATGAATAGGGAGGGTGAAATTAGGTTGAGGTTCTTGAGTGGATTTTTGATATCAAAAGCAAGGCTATGCACCATAATTTCAGTAATTTAGAAACACCTCAAATGTGACATATTTATTTGAATAACTTAATGAAAAGAGGTCCATATTTGATTAGTTTACATGAAAAAGGGAAGTGCATATTGCTGTCCTTATTAAGGAATCGTCGTGTGAGCCAGTTTTATGAACCGTAAAACAGACAGTGAAAATGCTGCTCCTTGTTCAGAAACAGTAAAACAATATTCTGGGAAATAAATCACTATAATAAAAATGTTGTATTTGTTGTATTTTATATGAAATTTGGGTCTAATCAGGTTTGGAAGCTCATAATCCTGTCGTTGAAAAGGGAGGAAAAGGAAGTAAAAAAAAATCTGCTGGGATAAGGATTTTCTGTTCACAATAAGGGGTTTTAATCTAATTTTCCTTCTCACTATTTACAGCTGGAAGAAGAAAAAAAATGTAAAGCTAGGTTGTCTAAGCAACGAATTGATTTTTAAGACTCTCAGAAGAACAGAAGCATTTTTGAAGGACACCATGTCCTGAACTCTATCAAGGTGTACTGTTTCTGAGCGTATTGTCAGTGAGGGCATTGATAGCAAAACATTTCTATTTGTTGAAAATGGACCTGCACTCCAGGCTGAAAAAAAGCTTCTTTTCTTTTAGTCAAGATTCTTCTTGTTTACTGTGCATAAATCCCATTGACCTCAGAGAAGGGGTGCATGAGAGTTCACTGTAAGGAAAGGGACAGTGTACTAATTTATGAATGATGAATGACTGCGAAAAGGATGAGTAGGTATAGCAAAGCATACAATAATTTTTGTCTTGCAAAAATTAAAATTCATTTCATGCACAGTCCCCAATGTATTGTTCTGTTTAACTTAAAAGTGCAGAAAAATAGGGAGTGATCGGGGGGAGGGGGGAAATGTCTTCCTTATTGCCTGGCATATTTCCTTTATGTACATCTACATTGGAGTGTAGGCATTGCTATTTTGGAATTCCTTGATAATCCAAAGCGGGGAAGGAAGGGGCTGATAAGCACAGTAAAAACACACACATTTGCAGGATTTCTAAATAATTTTCAAACAGCATTCCTTCTTTTGTTTTCTGAAAACCTAGCTTCTTCTAATGAGTTTTGATAAATCTGACAATTTGCCTATTGTTTTGCAACCTTTTAGTTTAAGAATAGCAGCTGGGCCCCGCCAAATTATCCACTGGACCTTTTCCCACTATTCAATCCAAGTGCTTTCCACCCACCTTTTAGCTGGCTGAAAACTGCATTGGCATGAAATTGCTGATCCATACCCTGCTTCTATTGCCTCTCTTTCAAGATGCAGCAGTCAGCTGACTTCCCTCTAAAGCAATTGGTGGCAAAACAAAACAGATTTTATACATCCCATGGCTGCCCTTGGAAGGAATCTGAAGAAGGGAGAAAATATTATCTTAAGTCAGATGATGGATTTAATCTATTTCATTCATGAACTGAGAATGAGGGAGAGGCAACATCCTGAGAATACGGCAGAAAAAAATATGCCTCCAGGGCACCTTTATTCCACAGGGAAAGGTCTTGTTTGCTTTGGCAAAGCACAGAGAGAGAGGTAATTCAGCTCCCTTTTCATAGGAAAAGTGGTTTGCGCAATACGAGGCCAGTCAATGTGGACAACTGTTTTTCCCCCCCCAAAACCAAAAGAAAAGAACTGCTTTGCTTGGGAGTACAGGTAGCCCTCAACTTATGATAGTTCATTTAGTGACTATTCAAAGTTACAACATCACTGAAAAAAGTGACTTATGACAATTTTTCCACACTTACAACCGTTGCAGCATTCCCGCGCCATGTCATCAAAATTCAGACACTTGGCAACTTGACTCACATTTATGATGGTTGCAGGGCCCTGGGATCACATGATCACCTTTTGGGTTCACTGACAAATGCGTGCCCGACAAATGCGCGCCGACAAAACCGCCGTGACAAAATGGTGACGTTGAAAGTGCGCCCACTAAAGAGCGTCGACAAATGCGCGCCGGCAAAAGCGCTCCATCGAAAACAACGGTAACAACATTAACAACCCTAGCCCTTACCCCAAACCTAACCCTAATCCTAACCTAAAAATGCTAATCGCGCTTTTGTGGGCGCGCTTTCAACATCGCCAGTTTGTCACGGTGGTTTTGTCGGCGCGCATTTGTCGACGCTCTTTAGTGGGCGCACTTTCAACGTCACCATTTTTTCACGGCGGTTTTGTCCGCGCGCATTTGTCGGGCACTCATTTGTCATTGGACCCCA